GGAAATGTGCTCTGGTGTCCAGAGGTCCTCAAAGCCACACTTCTCACATGTACAATAAGTCACCCAGGTTCAGTGTCTGCCCTAACGGGTCCTCAGAAACCCAGCCAAAGCAGAATCGCTCTGAACTCACCCCTCCCTTGTTCCCACAAGTGTTAGGGCTTTTGCTGGATGTCAAGGTTGAGGATCATGCAATGAAAGGGGGTCGCTGCCCTGGGAGATGAGGTGGGGCTGGAGCGCCTGGCGCTTTTTGTCTCCATTGCTTGAGCTTCAGAAGTCTCGGCCTCTTACACGTCACGGGGAACAGAAACAGCAGCTTATTCTACACCCGAGTGCAACAGCAACTTGCAAAACCACACAACAGCCAGGGATGTTGACTGCACAGTCATTTGTCAAAACTATTTGTTCTGAATGGCATTCTTTTTCTTCCTCAAGCTGTAAAAGCACAGTTAAAACCAATTGGGAGTGGGACTGGTGAACGGAGGGGAGACCACTCCATCCTTGGTCAGAGAGCCTCTGGGCCCCAGGAAGACACAATGAGGTGCAGATGAGAGCCAGTTCACCAGTCCTAGGAGGACCAGCCAGAGCTCAGGGATGAAATCTCCGCCCTCTGCTGTTTGGCAGCATGGGATGCAAACAGTAGAATGTGAAAAACTGAAAAAATCAAGAGTTCCACACTCAAGCACCCCCTTCCATCTAATGAGAAGCACAGAGCGAAGTCTGGAATGTCATCCTCGTGTGTGTGCAGCTGTAGGACAACCAGGGCGTTATGGCAGCCTTGCAGAGCATGCCTCCCATGGCCCTGCTTGCAGAAGTGTTCTTTGCTTCTCCCATTTGCCTGCATTTCTGTTCTGGTGTGGCCTCCTCAGAAAAAGGAGGGTTTAAGTGAAAGAGGCTGCATGTGTGTAGAAACCCAAGAAAGCTCAAACACCCAGGCCTGGGAATGGGCAGGGGCTGAGGTGACCACTGTTTTGCCTCTTGAGTTCTCACTGTTGAGTCTGTTCAGATTGTTTCCCATTGTCAGCTGCAAGCCCCCTCCCTCCATGCCTCAGTCCACACAGTGAGAGCAAACTGTGATCACCCAGCCTGTCTTGCCTGGCAGGTCACATAGTCAAAGGTGGCTGGCCAGCCTTTGATGATAAACTCCCTCTTGGACCAAGATGGACCACAGGCTGGTGCTGGGGGGCAGGTATTACTTTAACAGGAGGCCTGGGGGCGGGGGGTAGGGTGGAGGACAGGTAAGGTAAATTATACCTAGTAGCTGTCTTGTTGCTTTTCCCCATTTCTCAGTTTTTCACATTAAAAATGATGGCCTTTTCTGCACAGCAGGGTAATAGCAGCTAATTGTTAACTGAGTGCATCCCGTATGTCAGGCACTGTGCCAGGAGCTCTGCCGGTGTTACAGGCACTAACCGTGTCCCCACTTTAGCTCAGAGAATTAGCTAACCTGCTAGAGTCACATGTCCAGCCAAGTGTGCCGGGCTTCTACCCACTCACCTGAAGGGAGATAAGGTCTGTGTGGCAGAACGCCCGGGGCCCAGAGGACTGCTCCTGAGAGGTGCACTGGCAGGCAGCTGCCAGGTTGGAAAAGCTGTGAACCCAGCCTGGCAGCATGTGCTTCCTGCAAGTCTGACTGACCCTAGCAGGACTGTGGGTAGGTGCAAGCAGCTTAAACGAAGGATGGAAACAAAACAGGGAAGAGAAGGAAAAACGGGAGCATTCCAGGCCAGAAAGGAACAAAATACCATTTGAGGAGTGAGAAACCAAAAGAGAGGGAGGATTTATTCAAAGTACTGGAAAGGGGCAAGAAAATGAAATGGGATCCAGGAAGCTACAGGCAAACTGCAGGAGCCTACAGATAATTTGTATAATGAAAGGAAAAGTCATCTTGTTGGAATTTGTGGTGGAGGTGGCCTAGATTGGAAATATTATCCTATAACTTACCCCATTTCCAGTGAGAACCAGTGTAAAACTTTTCTAGAACATAGTAAATTGCACAGGGACATATTTAAAAAGAAAACAAGTTTTTCTCAGATCTGAAGCTTTCTGTCCTTTGTCACAGGGGGACCCAGGAAACCCAATGATGTGTGAGCTGAAGGAATTGAATCTGTGGGTGCTGAGAGGAATCCTGTCTCAGGGTGGTGAGAAATGCCCTGGCCTGTTCCTGTACATCAAGGTGGAAGACTACAGCAACTGGATCACATCCAAGACCAAGAAGACCAGCCCTCCCCTGTCTTCCTTCCACCACTGGAAAAACCCGATTCCTTTCCCCAGCCACTCATCATGTGATGTTGTGACACAGAAAAAACATGCTGGCCTGAGCCAGGTTGGACGGTCCCAACCATACTTCCAAGGACAAAAAAGGGCCACCATGCATTCATGGTCACAAATGGCAAATGGCACTCCAGTGAGTCTAGACTTTAGGGAAAAGGGTCTGAGGGAGTCAGACAAGTCTGAGGTGGCCATCCAACCCATGTACTATGACTACTATGGTGGGGAGGTTGGGGAGGGCAGGTCTCTATTGGGCCAGAACAGGTTACATCAGCCCCAAGAAATTATCTTATTTTTCTCTGTGCTTGTTTTCTTTGGTAATGGTATCTTAGTCTAGGAGCTAACCTTCCAAATGGAAGAGTAAGCTCAGAATGCTGAGTGCCAGGCATTCACCACACTGCTTTGGTGTCTCTTTTTGAGAGTTGCACAGCTGGGCTGCCACGGACAGGCCCACAGTACAGACTGGGCTGGCTCTCCCTCCTCTGTCCCACTCCCACATGTGGAGAGGTCATTTTCATGTGTGCTTGTGAACTAAACGTGGGCTAACAAGTGTCAAACCATTAGAGTGCCCTGTGGTTCTTTCAGTGTTTATGGTTCCCGGAGTGAGGCTGTGAAAACACTCCCCGGGGGCCGATGTTGCCTGGGAGGCGACCAGCAGCCTGGCTGGAGAACTGGGGACACCAGCCAGCACAGGGAACAGTGAGAGGACCCCATGACTATAGAGGAGCTGATTACTTTAATGGATCACTTTTTGGTCGGCAGCCGTCGCCTCCCTCTGGCTATTTCCCAGGGGGCAAATTGCCTGCAACTGCTCATTGGTGATTTTCATTTTATTCCAAGCCTTGCGGTAGCCTTTTAAGGACATCTGCAAAAAGGAGAAAGGGGGAGGAGGGAGAAGGTTATTTGGGACAAACGGATTGTGCCTATTCTACCTGCATCCAGCCCTGTGATGGTATGGATGACCTCGTATATGGGGCAGTGTCTGCATGCGTGCGGCGGACGCAGGCCACCTTGGGGCATCCGGAAGACTATTCTAGAGCTTGTCTCTGTTCCATGAAGTGAGAATTTGAAGGTTCCTTCTGTACTTCTTTGCTACTTCTTAGCCCCAGATGTGATGGGCCCAAGTATGGATCCTAATTTACTTTCCTGCTGCCAAGTGACCACTGGAAGGGCAGGTAAACACACTGTGGAAAAGGGAGCTGGGGTCTAGATGTGAGAATGCCAAGCTTCCCAAGTGACCTGACTGGGTTTTTAAGCTACCCTAAGGATGTCTTAAGTGCCCTCAATGTGCAACCTGGTCTGTGGCAGTCTTGGTGCTTTCCTTTTTTTTTTGATGCCAGCATATCATTTGCACTTTTCCTTTTTCTCTTCCATGGCTTACAAGGGGCAAGGGTGCTTCTGTGCACACTGTACCATATGAAAAGGCTACGGGGTTAGTCAACATCAAAAACCCATGGCAAATATGTAAATGCATGGAATCGGGTTCTGAGTGATACTAAAATCTTTTTCTCTTCCATGGCTTACAAGGGGCAAGGGTGCTTCTGTGCACACTGTACCATATGAAAAGGCTACGGGGTTAGTCAACATCAAAAACCCATGGCAAATATGTAAATGCATGGAATCGGGTTCTGAGTGATACTAAAATCCATTATTGGGCTTCCCTGGTGGCACAGTGGTTGAGAATCTGCCTGCTAATGCAGGGGACACGGGTTCAAGCCCTGGTCTGGGAGGATCCCACATGCCACGGAGCAACTAGGCCCGTGAGCCACAACTACTGAGCCTGCACGTCTGGGGCCTGTGCTCCGCAACCGCCTGGCGCTTTTTGTCTCCATTGCTTGAGCTTCAGAAGTCTCGGCCTCTTACACGTCACGGGGAACAGAAACAGCAGCTTATTCTACACCCGAGTGCAACAGCAACTTGCAAAACCACACAACAGCCAGGGATGTTGACTGCACAGTCATTTGTCAAAACTATTTGTTCTGAATGGCATTCTTTTTCTTCCTCAAGCTGTAAAAGCACAGTTAAAACCAATTGGGAGTGGGACTGGTGAACGGAGGGGAGACCACTCCATCCTTGGTCAGAGAGCCTCTGGGCCCCAGGAAGACACAATGAGGTGCAGATGAGAGCCAGTTCACCAGTCCTAGGAGGACCAGCCAGAGCTCAGGGATGAAATCTCCGCCCTCTGCTGTTTGGCAGCATGGGATGCAAACAGTAGAATGTGAAAAACTGAAAAAATCAAGAGTTCCACACTCAAGCACCCCCTTCCATCTAATGAGAAGCACAGAGCGAAGTCTGGAATGTCATCCTCGTGTGTGTGCAGCTGTAGGACAACCAGGGCGTTATGGCAGCCTTGCAGAGCATGCCTCCCATGGCCCTGCTTGCAGAAGTGTTCTTTGCTTCTCCCATTTGCCTGCATTTCTGTTCTGGTGTGGCCTCCTCAGAAAAAGGAGGGTTTAAGTGAAAGAGGCTGCATGTGTGTAGAAACCCAAGAAAGCTCAAACACCCAGGCCTGGGAATGGGCAGGGGCTGAGGTGACCACTGTTTTGCCTCTTGAGTTCTCACTGTTGAGTCTGTTCAGATTGTTTCCCATTGTCAGCTGCAAGCCCCCTCCCTCCATGCCTCAGTCCACACAGTGAGAGCAAACTGTGATCACCCAGCCTGTCTTGCCTGGCAGGTCACATAGTCAAAGGTGGCTGGCCAGCCTTTGATGATAAACTCCCTCTTGGACCAAGATGGACCACAGGCTGGTGCTGGGGGGCAGGTATTACTTTAACAGGAGGCCTGGGGGCGGGGGGTAGGGTGGAGGACAGGTAAGGTAAATTATACCTAGTAGCTGTCTTGTTGCTTTTCCCCATTTCTCAGTTTTTCACATTAAAAATGATGGCCTTTTCTGCACAGCAGGGTAATAGCAGCTAATTGTTAACTGAGTGCATCCCGTATGTCAGGCACTGTGCCAGGAGCTCTGCCGGTGTTACAGGCACTAACCGTGTCCCCACTTTAGCTCAGAGAATTAGCTAACCTGCTAGAGTCACATGTCCAGCCAAGTGTGCCGGGCTTCTACCCACTCACCTGAAGGGAGATAAGGTCTGTGTGGCAGAACGCCCGGGGCCCAGAGGACTGCTCCTGAGAGGTGCACTGGCAGGCAGCTGCCAGGTTGGAAAAGCTGTGAACCCAGCCTGGCAGCATGTGCTTCCTGCAAGTCTGACTGACCCTAGCAGGACTGTGGGTAGGTGCAAGCAGCTTAAACGAAGGATGGAAACAAAACAGGGAAGAGAAGGAAAAACGGGAGCATTCCAGGCCAGAAAGGAACAAAATACCATTTGAGGAGTGAGAAACCAAAAGAGAGGGAGGATTTATTCAAAGTACTGGAAAGGGGCAAGAAAATGAAATGGGATCCAGGAAGCTACAGGCAAACTGCAGGAGCCTACAGATAATTTGTATAATGAAAGGAAAAGTCATCTTGTTGGAATTTGTGGTGGAGGTGGCCTAGATTGGAAATATTATCCTATAACTTACCCCATTTCCAGTGAGAACCAGTGTAAAACTTTTCTAGAACATAGTAAATTGCACAGGGACATATTTAAAAAGAAAACAAGTTTTTCTCAGATCTGAAGCTTTCTGTCCTTTGTCACAGGGGGACCCAGGAAACCCAATGATGTGTGAGCTGAAGGAATTGAATCTGTGGGTGCTGAGAGGAATCCTGTCTCAGGGTGGTGAGAAATGCCCTGGCCTGTTCCTGTACATCAAGGTGGAAGACTACAGCAACTGGATCACATCCAAGACCAAGAAGACCAGCCCTCCCCTGTCTTCCTTCCACCACTGGAAAAACCCGATTCCTTTCCCCAGCCACTCATCATGTGATGTTGTGACACAGAAAAAACATGCTGGCCTGAGCCAGGTTGGACGGTCCCAACCATACTTCCAAGGACAAAAAAGGGCCACCATGCATTCATGGTCACAAATGGCAAATGGCACTCCAGTGAGTCTAGACTTTAGGGAAAAGGGTCTGAGGGAGTCAGACAAGTCTGAGGTGGCCATCCAACCCATGTACTATGACTACTATGGTGGGGAGGTTGGGGAGGGCAGGTCTCTATTGGGCCAGAACAGGTTACATCAGCCCCAAGAAATTATCTTATTTTTCTCTGTGCTTGTTTTCTTTGGTAATGGTATCTTAGTCTAGGAGCTAACCTTCCAAATGGAAGAGTAAGCTCAGAATGCTGAGTGCCAGGCATTCACCACACTGCTTTGGTGTCTCTTTTTGAGAGTTGCACAGCTGGGCTGCCACGGACAGGCCCACAGTACAGACTGGGCTGGCTCTCCCTCCTCTGTCCCACTCCCACATGTGGAGAGGTCATTTTCATGTGTGCTTGTGAACTAAACGTGGGCTAACAAGTGTCAAACCATTAGAGTGCCCTGTGGTTCTTTCAGTGTTTATGGTTCCCGGAGTGAGGCTGTGAAAACACTCCCCGGGGGCCGATGTTGCCTGGGAGGCGACCAGCAGCCTGGCTGGAGAACTGGGGACACCAGCCAGCACAGGGAACAGTGAGAGGACCCCATGACTATAGAGGAGCTGATTACTTTAATGGATCACTTTTTGGTCGGCAGCCGTCGCCTCCCTCTGGCTATTTCCCAGGGGGCAAATTGCCTGCAACTGCTCATTGGTGATTTTCATTTTATTCCAAGCCTTGCGGTAGCCTTTTAAGGACATCTGCAAAAAGGAGAAAGGGGGAGGAGGGAGAAGGTTATTTGGGACAAACGGATTGTGCCTATTCTACCTGCATCCAGCCCTGTGATGGTATGGATGACCTCGTATATGGGGCAGTGTCTGCATGCGTGCGGCGGACGCAGGCCACCTTGGGGCATCCGGAAGACTATTCTAGAGCTTGTCTCTGTTCCATGAAGTGAGAATTTGAAGGTTCCTTCTGTACTTCTTTGCTACTTCTTAGCCCCAGATGTGATGGGCCCAAGTATGGATCCTAATTTACTTTCCTGCTGCCAAGTGACCACTGGAAGGGCAGGTAAACACACTGTGGAAAAGGGAGCTGGGGTCTAGATGTGAGAATGCCAAGCTTCCCAAGTGACCTGACTGGGTTTTTAAGCTACCCTAAGGATGTCTTAAGTGCCCTCAATGTGCAACCTGGTCTGTGGCAGTCTTGGTGCTTTCCTTTTTTTTTTGATGCCAGCATATCATTTGCACTTTTCCTTTTTCTCTTCCATGGCTTACAAGGGGCAAGGGTGCTTCTGTGCACACTGTACCATATGAAAAGGCTACGGGGTTAGTCAACATCAAAAACCCATGGCAAATATGTAAATGCATGGAATCGGGTTCTGAGTGATACTAAAATCCATTATTGGGCTTCCCTGGTGGCACAGTGGTTGAGAATCTGCCTGCTAATGCAGGGGACACGGGTTCAAGCCCTGGTCTGGGAGGATCCCACATGCCACGGAGCAACTAGGCCCGTGAGCCACAACTACTGAGCCTGCACGTCTGGGGCCTGTGCTCCGCAACAAGAGAGGCCGCGATAGTGAGAGGCCCGCGCACCGCGATGAAGAGTGGCCCCTGCTTGCCGCAACTAGAGAAAGCCCTCGCACAGAAACCAAGACCCAACACAGCAAAAATAAATTAATTAATAAACTCCTACCCCCAACATCTTAAAAAAAAATCCATTATTATCTCAATTTTTAAAAACTGGCTTCTCCGTGTATAAAATAGCAATCACTAAATTATCAATGGTGGGGGGAGGGATTCAGAAGCTTCCAGAGATCAATAAGAAAACAAGCAACTAAAAACACACCATTAGGGGCTTCCCTGGTGGTGCAGTGGTTGAGAGTCCGCCTGCCGATGCAGGGGACACGGGTTCATGCCGCGGTCCGGGAAGATCCCACATGCCGCGGAGCGGCTGGGCCCGTGAGCCTGTGCATCTGGAGCCTGTGCTCCGCAACGTACGGCAAAAACAAAAACAAAAAACAAAACAAAAAAACCCACACCATTACTAGAGTCTCTTCCTGATAACCTGAAAAGACTGTCCCTAACAAGAAAAAGGAACTTTAAGGAAAAAAAAAAAAGCCATCTTTATTTTGGTGTAAGAGTTGAAGCAACGGCTGAGATTTCTCACAGGTATTATGTGTCTAAAATCCTGTATTCTTACCTCAGCAAACAAAATCTTAAACAAAAATGTGAGGGGCATAAGATATCACGGGTCTCGGGACTTCCTGTAACTCACCTCTGCAATCTCCACTTTCCTCTCCCACATCCTGATGGCCTTCTCCAGGTCCCTGTTTCGGATCTTCTCCCGGACGTACATCATCACCTGTGGCGCTCGGAACTCAGACAGCTGCTTCCGGAGCTGCTTGTTCAGAGCCATGGCCTTGGCCCGGTCCTGGGGTGGGAAGGACCAATTAAACGTGGGGCTCCCTGGCAGTTCTAGCCTTCTGGGACTTACTGGTCCTGGCATCTCTCCCCAGTTTCAATGTAGTTCTAAAAATTATGTTTACATTTTCAAAGGAGTGGGTGAAATCACAAGATTCTTTTTCTTTACAGGTCGTGACATTTTCCTCCAGTTTAGAAACATTAAGTAAAGTCTAAAACAGTCTTTTTCCCTCCCTTCCTTCCTTTCTTCCTTCCTCCCTTCCTCTATTAAGGAATATGCTTTACTTTTGATTGCTTAGGGGCTTTTTTTGCTTTGGAAAAATTATGTATTTAAGTATACTTTGATTAGATCAAATTCAATTCATTTTCCTGTCTTTTTTTTTTGACAGAATACACATAACATAAATTTTCCAATTTTTAAGTGTACAGTTCTGTGGCATTCACGGAACAATTCACATTGTTTTGCAACCTTTATCACCAGCCATCTCCAGAATTTTTTCATCTGCCCCAACTGAACCTCTGTACTCATTAAACACTAACTCCCCAAACCCCCTCCCCGTAGGCCCTGGCAACTACCATTCTATTTTCTGTCTCCATGAATGTGACTACTCTAGGTACCTCATATAAGTGGAATCATACAATATTTGTCCTTTTGTGACTGGCTAATTTCACTTAGCATAAATGTCTTCAGTGTTCATCCATGTTGTAGCATGTCAAAATTTCTTTCCTTTTTAAGGATGAATAATATTCATCCTTAAAATAATATAAATAAAATAATATATTCTATTATATGCATATACAACTCACTTTGGCTATTCACTCATCTGTCAATGGACACTTGAGTTCTTTCTACATTTTGGCTATTGTAAATAATGCTGCTACAAACATGGGTGTACAAATACCTGTTGTTCAAGTTCATGCTTTCAATTATTTTGGGTATATACCTGGAAGACAACTTGCTGGATCATATGATTATTCAAATTTTTGAGGACTCTGTCTTTTTACATTTCATATTCAAAAATTATTATACAGTAAAATTAACTAGTCTTTTTCTTCTGAGTGGCTTTTTGAATCAGCATTGTCCTTTTAACAATTGTTTTGAATAGGCAATACATTCAATTCAAATGGTATAAAAGTACACAGTGACAAGCTCCCAACCCACCCCTGTCCCCAGCCACACAGGTCCCCTTCCAAGAAGCATACACTATTTTTAGGTTTCATGCATCCTTCTAGAGATCTATATCCATACAAACATATATGTTTACCTTTCTGACCCAAAGAGTAGCCAATTCTATTCACTTTCATTCATCCAACTTTTTTTTCCCACTTGATACATATTGAAGATTCTTCTGTATCAACACATAAAGAATTTACTCATTCTTTTTAACAGCTTCATAATTTTCCATTGTATGGATGTACCATACTTTAACAGGTCCCCACCAACAGTCACTTAGCTTCTCCATCTCTTGCTATTACAACAAGCAGTGCTGTGCTTACAAAGTTTCTGGGTATACATCATTTTGTAAAAATGCAAGTACAATATATCAGTAGGATAAGCTACTGAAAGTGAAATTGCTTATTCTAAGGCAGTGGTTCTCAACCAGAAGCTATTTTGCCCCCAGGAGACATTTGGCAATGTCCAGAGACATTTTTGTGTGTCACAATTAGGGGAGTGCTACTGACATAGGGTAGGTGGAGGCCAGGGATGCTGCTAAACACCCTGCAATGCACAGCATGGCCCCCACAAGGAAGAATTATCTGACCCGAAATGTCAGTAGGGTCTAGGTTGAGAAACCCTGCCCTAAGCATATGTGTATGTATGGTAAATGGTGCTAACTTGCCTTCTATTATAATGATGAAGGCAATTATACTTCTGCAGCAATGTTTGAGACTGCCTGTTTTCTCCATTCTCGCAACACAATCTTACTTTTTCATCTTTGTCAATCTAACAGAGGGAAAATGGTACCTCACTATAGCTTTATTTTCTGTTCCTTATGAGCAAAGAGGAACATTTTTCATATGTTTGAGATATTTTAGCTTTTCTGTTTAAATCTTTGGCCCAGTTTTTTCCTATTTTTTGTTAGATTTTTCTTGTTAATTTATAAGACATTTATCTTTTAAGAAAATTAGCTCCTTCTGATATTAAATACAATATTTTTCCAGTTACTTATCTTTGGGCTTCACTTATGATGGTTTTTGCCATGCAGAAAATTTTTTATTTTTATATAGCTGACTTCATTGATTTCATGGTTTATAGCTTTCACATTTTAAAAGTCTTCCATATTCCAAGATTACAATAAAAATGTTCCCACTATATAAGTTCAGGACTTTAATGGTTTTATTGTTAACATTTAAATCTCTGATATGCCTGGATTAATTCTGCTATTACATATAGTTCCAAATTAATTTTTTCCTAAATGGCTACCCAGTCATTGCAAATCATTTGTTGAATAATCTGTTGTCTCTCATTGCAATGCCACCTTTATCACAAACTAAATGTATCAATATCAAAACTATCAGAAACTTGATCATATACATATCATATATGGTCTGTATTAGAGTTCATCATATGGCTTACATTTTTTTCTTTTATCTTCCCATCTATTCATGGACTTGTTTTAAATACTGTAACTTCATAACACATTTCAGTATCTAGTAAGGCTAGTCTCCTCCTTATTAAGAATTTTGTGGATATTCTTATTTATTCTTCCAAAAGAATTTTTGAGTCAGTTTACTTAAGCCTTTAAAAAAATCTCCTTGTGGGACTTCCCTGTTGGTCCAGTGGGTAGGACTCCACGCTCCCAATGCAGGAGGCCTGGGTTCTATCCCTGGTCAGGGAACTAGATCCCACGTGCATTCTGCAACTAGGTGTTTGCGTGCCGCAACTGAGAGTCCACGTGCCGCAACCAAGAAGTCTGCATGCTGCAGCTAAGAAGCCTGTGAGCCATGACTTAAAAAGATCCTGCATGCCATGACTGAGGATCTCGCATGCTGCAACTAAGACCCGGTGCAGCCAAGATAAATAAAAATTTTTTTAAATCTCCTTGTTATTTTAATTGGAATACTATTATTTCACAGATCAACTTAAACAGAATTAACGTTTTTTATGATGTTGAATCTTCCTAACGTAGTATTGTATTTTGATTCCTCGCTGTGACACTGGCATCACCTGGGAATTGGGTGAACGTGCAAAGCCTCAGGCCACCCATACCTATCCAATCAGAATCTGCTTTTAACAAGATCCCCAGGTGACTGGTTGTCACCTTCTGGTTTGAAAAATGCTGTTTTAACCCAATAAAATTATTTTTTTATCAACTTGTTTTCAGAATGCAACAAAAATTTGTCAGGAAGTGTTCAGTGCATATCTATTATCGGTCTAGCATGACATACAACAGTGGGGAGACCTAAAAATGTACCAAGAACCATCAGTGGACACTCCTGTGAGAATGACGATTACAGAATACCTAAGATAAAATATAATGAAGTAGCAAGAATTAAAGCATTAAAAAATAGGTACTAGCTATGAGGGATATGCTGAGAAGACCCGGGACTGCAGTCCCTATGCAGCACCCAACTTGTAGAGCAGGGGTGAAACTACAGGAAAGACAGGCCACTGTTCCCACACCCAGCTCCAGTGCAATGGTGCAGAAATTTTGCCCAAGGGGAGAGGCTGTAAAATATAAAGCTCTGGAATGCTGCCTAAGAAGGTAAACTTTATTTGTATCAGAGTGTGGGGAGTTCATGCTAAAGACTTTGTGGAAAACAATGGAGATCTTTGGGATGAGCAATTAAGATCAATCTGATAGTTCCATATTAGTAGCAACAAGCAAAAAGTAGATTAGCTAGATGTTTAACTTAACCAGAGAAAGAGACAATTAAGAGCCTTATGGGGTTAGAGCAAGCCTCAATGACTGGCAACACTTTGCCCCTGTGACAGGGCCTGACTGTAATTAGATCAGAATGTGGAACAATTCATGTCTCAAGGTGCTAAAGCAATAGAGCAATTAGCTAGTAATTAATAGAGGCTAACAGCTAGGTGTGACACCAATAGAGGTAGACCGGCAAGAAGTTTGCTGGAAGATGGAGGAGGCAAAGAGAACTAAGCTGAAATCACCCTGGTTGTCAGGGAGATTGTATCCATGATCAAGGCTGTATCCTCTGGGGAGCCACATCAGAGGCTACTAACAGCAGGAGAAATAGATTTTACTGAATCAGTAAAGGCAAATTAGTAAACAACAAGCAAAAACAATGACAAGACCAAGATCAGTATCTGGTGATGCTAAAGTATATTATCTAAAAAGTCCAGTATTCAACAAAAATTATGAAATAGGAAAGAAACAAGGAAGTGTGACCCACACAGGGAAAAAAGCAGGCAACATAAACTGCCTTTCGGAGAATCCAGATGGTGGACTTAGCAAAGTCTTCAAAGCAACTATTATAAAGGTGTTCAAAAAACGAAAGGAAACCATGTTTAAAGAATTAAAAGAATATATGATGATAGTGTCTTATCAGAGAATATCAATAAAGAGGTAGAAATTATTTAAAAAAATAAAAAGAAGAACCAAAGAGAAAATCTGGAGTCTTTCCAAATGGAATGAAAAATTCACTAGAGGGGATCAACAGTACACTTAAGCCAAGAGAAGAAATAATCAGTTAACTTAAGGTAAGCTGATAGAGATTATGCAATATGGAGAACACAGAGAAAAAAGAAGCAAGAAGTCTTGGAGAAACGTGGAACACCCCTAAGTGCAGCAACACACATGAAAACTTCCCACATCCACAAACTTCAACAAACTCCAAGTAGGATCAGTGCAAAGAAATCCATGCCCAGATACTTTGTACCCAAAATGTTGACTGACAAGGCAAAGAGAATATATTGAAAGCAGCAAGAGAAAACAAGTCATCACATACAAGGGAAGCCCAATAAGATTAATACTTGACTTCTCATCAGAAACAAAATGGAGGCCCAAAGGCAGTGGGATTACATATTCTAAGTGCTGAAAGGAAAAA